TAGACTCGAAGAGATGTTAAGTGGTTGTCGGGCGATTCTCATTCGTTCAGAAGAATGCCCGCACAAGCGAGCTTATATGGTCGTGCTGTAACAACGTGCGTACGTCCGCCACAACCGCTCATTTGCATCCGCCGCGCTACTTGAACAGTGTTCATTCTCGCGCTTCAAGGCATTGCTGTCTTGAAGTGCAAACTTCGTTTCCTCGCAAGTCGCCGAATATGAATTGAAATAAATAAAAACGTTAAACGATTAATCCTTCAATCGGACTCATGATTCTATAATATTATATCCTGTTCTTATATCATATAACATTAATGTGCTCAGAAAATTCTGAAAAAATTTACGGGAGTTAAAATAATAGTTGAAATAATAGTTAAATAGACAAATCATATTGAATAATAGATAAGTTTATTTTTATAATTATTTTTCGAAAAAATGATTTGTTAGTGTATTGTATATCTAATAATATATAATTTTACGAAATTTAATTTACGAAAGAAACACTTCGAAATTTCTTTAGTATAAAAAATTCTTTAGTATAGAATCTATAGTTGAAGAAAAAAATATGGAATAATTATAACTAAAAAAATAAGTAATTATTAGAATATATGAAAGCAGAGTATATTATAGTATATTTTAATTTCAGAGTTAAATAGGTAAAGATACTTTAAAATAAGAAAAACAATAATTCGTATATTTATTTGTTTTTTAATGATATCTTTCATGAAATATAAATATCGCAAGTACACGGAAAAGATATTTAATTGTTGAGCTTAAAAATAATCTTGCACAAGCAATTTACGCAAAAAATTTTGTGAAAACGGAACTTGCGGAACTTAATTGGTTTCTTTCTTTATGAGAAAAACCCGTTCCACGGGAAACGCGATGAGGCAGAAGAACGTGGATGCGACGCGAGTAAACATCGTGACTAATAAATCGAGATATGACTTGCGAAGGTGGCACGACCGTACACTATCTACGGGAATTCTACGAGTCAGTGGAAACGCACTTGGCCCACGGTATGGCCGGACAAGCCTTGGTGTGTCAGTGAAGGTTAGTATGGGTTCTTGCCCGGTGTCTCGTGACCCGATTCGTACCACTGTCTGCTTGAACGTTGTTAATTCTCGCGAAGTCCTGTGCCGGTCATTTCGATATTTCGTTTCGGATTAAGACAATGCTGAATATCGACATAACGCAATTTTGTAATTTTCTCTTTTCTTCCAGTTAGATGCATCAAATTGAAAATGCTCTTACAGGATGGAAATATAAACGTTAATGAATGGCTGATACTGAACAGTTGCATGAAATCAATAGAAAATTTTTTACTTACCGACTGACAGTAAAACATTTTTAGAAGAATTATAAAATAAATGATGTATGTCAATGTTTGATATTTTGAAAAAAGCGGTGCTGTTCGATAAAATAATTGCAACACGTAGCGGTCGTTCACGCTACTTCTCAAAGTGGCTCGACTTCTCAGTCGCGGGCATTCCGCTCGTGTCTTCGAGGAGGGTTCCAATCGAGGCTCCCATTGTGAAGTCTAACCACCGGTTTTTGCGGAGCGTCTGCGTCCTGGTTATGCGACCGCCAGGTGCAACGTATTAATACCTGCGTCCCGCGACACGTTTGCGATCGTGTCACTGCTTTACTTTGCCGCCGCCGCGAATAAAGTTTGTCCTCGCCGTTCGAGAGCAGCGCGCGAGCGCGTTTACCCGTGCCGAGTACCGTTCTGCTCGGAGAGGGATCAACCGTAAAGCGCGTAATCCTTTACGAATGGTAAAAATATCTGCGAGGATCTATCGTATCGGTCGAGCGGGAACAACAAGGAGAGGGAGAGAGAGAGAGAGAGAGAGGGAGGGAGGGTTTGCGAGGCCAAAGCGGGTATTCCTGGCATGCGTGGACTGTCCGCGTTTATTTTTCCGGTAGTTGCCGCGCGTACAATGCGCGTGACGAGAGATATTACTATTCCGACTATTCGGCTTTCCCAATGATACGGAGAATAGGAAATGCTCGAACTAACTTGAGAAATTCCGTCGATCCAGCGACGAAGCATTTCAAAGACGTTTGTAGTATATTAAAGAGCAATTGAAATATATAAAATTTCCAAATATTTATATGTCGATAACACAAAAATATATCTTATAATGCGGATATAAAAGATTAAGAGTCGTAAGAAAAGAGAATTTATTTATTTTTGAAAAATTAGATTAAATTGATGAAGAAAGGAAGGTAAATTCTTGTAACTCTCTTTTTTGTAACTTCCTTTTTTTTTTGAGGTTTTTATGCAGTATTGCAATTTGTAACTTTGTAGGATAATAAAGTAGGGAAAAACACATGAAACATAAGAAATGCTTTCAACGTCGAAGCTGAGGAGCGGTAGTTATCTACTAACCGCATGCACTTCCTGCCGTCGCGATCAATTATTCCGCGAAGAATTGATTATATGTGAAATGTGATGTATATGTATGCAAAATCGACATAAATTGCGGAATATATATATACTTACATATGATTGCGAATATATGAATAGAGGAGAAACTTATCTTCACTATTCATCAATACTCTGCTCATATTCTCGGTTGGCATCGTTTAATCTAAAAAATTCGCGATGCATCTTACAAAAATAGCACAGAGATTGTATAAATATAAATATGGCAGAAGATACCGTCGAACAGAAAATAGCGCATTTATTATTGATTAAAATTATCTTTAACAAGAATAAAATGCATTTTAATTTCGTTGAAAAATCCACACAAGCTTATGGATCAAGCCAATAATTATATCGACAATTACTTGTCCGATGGACGCAGCCTCGAGGGTGCTTCCGATTCTCCGTCAGGCTTCGAAACGAAAAAATCGCGACTGGAGATGGCGATGCGTTCTCGCGGAAATCGTCGAGCCGGGAATTAAACTGCAATTGCGCGGCTCGATTGCAACTATTTGCGCGCTCGACTAATTGGAGTCTTTAGCATTCAACACGACGCATCGTTGGTGCTGCTCGGTGCAGATGCAAAACACGCGCGTCGCTGTAGCCGCTTCTCTTCTTGTTGCATTCTATGGCCACGCTCGAACACACATTCTCGTAATCGTGTCGCAACTGTTACCGCGCACGGATCGGCTCCACCGGCTTTCTTCGGCAATTATACGGCGTGGAAGAGGGACCTGACAAAAGACCGACCGTGAGGCTTTTACGATGGACTTTCTTAAGATTATGGACTTTCTACTTGCTTATAAATCCCGACCATTATCGAGAACGATCACGAATAGTGACGTGGATAGTACCACCCTATCGGATATCTTCATCGACACGCGCTTGGCGGTATTGCTGCGGGCCATTTTGCTCCGCATTAGATGTTTTCGGATAAGTTGATAGTTTTGATATCGTTTCTGTAATATATATATCTTTTCAATCTTACTATGTTTCTGATAGTGCAGGAAATGGATCTGTCTATAATCTGTCTTGCTGAGGAACATAGTAAATTTTGTTAAAAACGTAGCAAAGTTTTTAATAGCACACATGCTTCCTAAAATTTCAATAACACATCTAAAATGAAAGAATAGTCAGTTATTGCAGAATGTCGATCTGTTCTACGGTAAGATTTATTATGAAATTCTCTCTCTCTCTCTGCATGATTAGTTACGAAATTGTTTAGATTGTTACGATAACTACCTGTGACTTATTGTCGATGTGTTATCGCGAGAAAGAAAAACAAACTCGGCAGAAGTGAGTTATTATGTGGAAACTCGCTTTACGAGATAACAAAAGGCACTTTTGTTACACAGTGAGGTAACTTATTATAGCACGGTCGCTCTAAAGAGAAAGGAGTGGTTCGCGCATGCAAGATCTGCCGCGCCGAACGTAACTCTGTGCAATTTTGCATCTCAGAGTGGCAACGGCGCGGTTGTTTCGCGCGAATCGTGGAGAATTGTACCCCTCTCTGTCTTCAATGTAAGCCGCACATTGCGTGCTTCAGTTAATAATGGAGTAACGACTTAACATCTGCGTACACGGCCGAACACGAAGGTGCGCGCAGCGCTTTCTCCGCGACATATTAGAAAGCGTATTTATAACTCATCTCGGAACAGAACGCACGGCGTGTATCGATGTCGGCGGTCGTTCGACGAAGCGTGGAGCCGATCGTTAATTTTTCGGGATTATCATCGCTCGTGGGATTATCGCAAACACGTCGTGGGACATTTTTGCTGCGAGTTATTTATCACGTCCTTGGACGTACAAGGATAGTTTTGCAATGGGTCCTTGATTCCACGAATGCCGCTGTTCGTTTTCTATTTGTTTAAAGAAATCGTGAATCCTCGCGCGGTCGCATATCTTCGACTCCGCGAGACGAACTCTCGTAAAACCTGTCGCTGGATCTCCGATTTCGCAAGCCGCAAGGTTCGATCGCGGTGAATTCCGAGATCCGTAGAGATCTCCGGTTTCTCGGACTCGAATCACAGGATCCGCTTATTCCGCCAGTTCTCTTTGTCGTCATCTCAGAATTATTTTACATCAGATTGCTTCACAAACGCGGATTTTCCACTACGAATTCAGTCATTAATTGAATTAGTTAACTCGATAGTTGATATTTCCTCCAATATGATGAGAAATCCCTGGTAGAAATGTGTGCGGTTTGTGTGGATTTGTCCAGTTATTGTTTAATATAAATGCATTCTCATTAGTTGCAAAAGTACCGTGTAGAAACTCGAAGAACTTGATAGAGTTTTATTCTTGCGCTATGACCTCCATTAACATTAAAAATTTTCAAAGTTGGAAAGCATGCGCAAAAAATAAAATATTACTGAAGCAAAGTTGCCTTCAGCTCATCAGTTAACAGGTGATAACTCTTTAAACTCGATTAAGTCTTCCTAACTGTCAGAGACCTGCGAATATCGGATACTCGCACGATCCCTAAGCTAATTTGTGTCGACTTCTTCGGATTTGCGGGACGCGTGTTAGGTTCTGACTGTTTCGAAGCCGCTTAGCCTCGCATCGAACTCACCAGCGCCTATCCAAAGGCACAGCGCCGCCGCCACGACAGGCCACCAGGCGGACATCGCGCTACATCGATCCACGACGATCCGCGAGAAATCCCAGCATCACTCTTCTCGACACGTCCCATCCGATGATGCGACCGGATTCTCTTACTTCGCGGATTCTTCACAATCGTCCCGACGTGTATTCCACGAGATTCGCACTTCACTTATCCCCGATCGAGCCAACCGACCTGATGATCGTTCCCCGAATTCAACTAATCACTTATCCGAGGTAAATTAATGCCGACCGGACATATAAAAACGGTACTCTCGACCAGATCACGGCGCAGTTGGACCGCGCGAAACAGCGCCGGAGCAGAGAATAGTTGAGCGCGAGATGACTATCTTTGAACTGCGCGCGTGTCTGTTATCAGAACGCGGCGCTTATCACCGTTAACGTCCTCCTCGTGCATCGCGCAGAGTCCGTTTGGGTTTTTCCGGTTGCATCCGTGCATCTTCCCCCGTGATCGCGACCCGCCACTGCGCTTTCACTGGTGAATGGGTTCCGGTACGTTTTTCTTGGCATCGGCCCCCGGTACCCACTCTTGCATTCCTATTCCTATTCCGATCAAATCTTCCGGTCGTCACAGGCGAACGGGCGAACCGAGAAACAAACGCGAGAATGTCGCTCGTGTGCCCGACATCGCGCGCGCGCGCGCGCGCACTGTATGGGGCGAGCACGTTAATGAACCACCAACGACGGTCTCTACTTTCTCTCGATTGATAACGAGACAATGATCGATTTTTATGGTTCCCTCAGTTTTCTGGCACGGCGACGTTTCAGTGTCAAACACAATCGACTTTGTTAATATCTGAATGTTGAAAATATTGCACTTGTTGCGGCCACAAGAGTCGAGCCTTTCGAAGCACTAGTCATAGCAGAGCTCACGACGGGTCTTCCTCACAGGTCCGCGACCTCGAACCCGGGGCCCACAGGGGCATCGCGACGCCGGGGACCCGCCGTTACGGACCCACCGATCGCGACGGCGAATACGATCCTTTAAGAAAATCCACGCGCGTAGGTGCAAGCGTGCTCCAAGAGGTACACGCGAATCCCCCGGGTTTCAATGGCGAGGGTAAGATTTCTCAGCAAGACTCGCGCATCTCAAGATGCGAGGCGATGAGGTACGCGCCCAGAGGGCCCGGGCAGGACGTAGGTCTGACGACGGTTGGCGAACGGTGCGCCGACGACTGCGGGGCCGCGACGTCGCGACCTGTTCTTCGGCTGTGCTCCGGCGAATCGCAGTGGCGTATGATGGTGTGAGAGTGAAGGGGCCTGTTAATGCGATGTTTCAGGTACCTGAGAAGGCACGTAATTACTGTGTGAATGATAATTCCAACATGAACAGGCCACAGCTCAGCCTGAGGGAGAAAAAGAAAAAGAAATGATGAAGAAATAAACATAAAGAGGGTTAGGAATCGTGCTGTACTCGAGTGTTTCTCTCGATACTATTTCTGTACTATATTATCGTGCCTTCATTATTACATCTTTCCGTGATTATGCCAGTTGTACTCAATTGACAACCGTGGGAGTGCGGCATTTTTTGGAGAACAGTTGAGAGATATATACGCGAGTTTCGGGATTTTTCTTTGCGCGCTGAAGACTCAACGTAACTGATATAATTATATATTATATAATTGTAAAAATTGCATTATCTTTCTTCTGGGAAGTGTATATTTTATTTATATACTGTCTTAAACGCGCGACAGATGTGTCGAATATCTTTGCAAGGTGCCTCGGGCTCTCGAAGTCAAGAAGACGATGTCAAACTGGTAGCGCCGCCATCACCGTCGTGAAACCACGATTGTCGGCCGGAGAAAATGAACCACCAGTGGCGTAGGACGCCGTATTTATAACCGATTCATTGGCGCGATGAGCACGAAGCAGTTCTATGAATCGCGGAATTAATAGATCTTGAACATAGGAGCAATGAAGTTGTCCGCAAATCATATCGCCGGTCGCTTTACCTTCGATCAATTATTCGCCTAGCAAATCTGACTTCGTTCTGGACCAAGAGAGAACATTTCTGATCTGTCTTCTTTCTCAAGTTCTCAAAATTGATCGGTAGTCCCGTGATTTTGCGATGTAATGGATCTAATCAAGGCCCGACACAGATATCAATATGGTAGCAGCTTGTGCTTCTCAGTGATGGGCCGAAGGAAATTCAGGATCTCGGTAATTACCGGAAATTGGCAAGTTCTTTAATCGGTGAACCTCCTGATAAACGTTTATATTACGATGTCCCCGTGTTTGCCTTCGCGTTAAATTTTTAGGTAATTATGGCTGATATGAATTGTAAGTTATACAAATTGTAAATGGCGACAGTAAACTTTTGTAATACAAATTCAATCGTGGAATGTGAAGTAACACGACAGACGCGCGTGTTACAGTAGAAATGTCACTTAATCCGATTAACGCGTCGCGACGTTCGGCGTTCAACGACTCGCGATTCCGGCGACTAATTAGCAAAATTCGCCTCCCGAGATGTGCGCAATTAGTGCTCCCCCGGAAGCGGGCGATGCGAGCGCTATTATGTCGACAAGGAGAAAATACTCGGCAATTTCCGAGGACTTGAAGAACGTTTCTCTCTCTCGAGAAGATAAGAACGTACATGTTCGATGCGTCCCAACGACACCGCTAAATTCGATCCCAGGGAGTAACGTTTATGAGGAATATGCATTAAGTCGGAATGACTCCTGGCGAAGAACGAGCGGTGACAAGCACGACGTTATTCGTTACGGATTTCCTTATTACAGGTTTAATTTAGTTTCTCGTGTAAACGCAAATTCAACGTGTGAAGAATTAACGATGTATTTATGTGCACTTTCTAATTCAAGCAAAGAGAAGATACAATTAAATTGCAAATATTAATTTCGAGTTATGTATTGCTTTATTTTTGATAATTATTTTTTTTACAGATCTTTTGTTTCTCGAGATTTATTAAGTTTTCATAAATTATTATTTTTCCTCTTGATCTGATATTTCTGCGCAGTGAAATGCTTGATCTGTTTTCCAGATTGATGTTTCTAAGAAACAAATCCACGTAAGACATGCGTCAGACACGGAAGTCAGATCAAGTATTTTTTCTTCAACTTCGCGATAATTCTCTAATTGAAATGCGAAATAGATAGAAAAAATTGATCGGTCGTAGGAGTAATAGAAGCAATACCTCTGGAGATGCCGTTCTGCTGAAGGACGTAGGAGTATCGTGCAGGTTGTTAAACGATAGCGCGGACGATCCTGACATGCCGATCTCAGGATTTGAGAGTTATCTCGTCAGGCAGCTCAAACTTGAGTACAACGAGTTATCGAGCATCACAAAGAAGATAAACGCGTATACCAAGGATATTTTGAACAATCTAGCGTCAAGGTGCAGGAAGAAGGATCATGTCCCTCGGAAATTAGTACGAAAAGATAATTTTTGAAACAAAAATTAATAATCATAATTAAAACTTGTCATTAAAGTTCATATCAACGAATACGTTACAGCATGTAGTTTCGAAACACGTAATGGCATCCCAATATACCGACGAGGCGGGAAATCCTTGCTTGAAATTAAGATTTTGTGATAATGCAGAGAAGAAATGTGGTCCAATAAAATATGACATAAACAACGATCTCTTTGAAAAAGAAACTGCCAAGGAAACACATGGTAATACAAAATACAATGGAATTTTTTTGTTTCCTCCCTCAGTTTATATTTAACTGTATGAATCTTAAAATTTACGCAGAACAACTTTTCCAACGTTATCTTCAAAACATGGGCTTTTTGTACTTATTATAACTTTTCTCAACTTTATTAAGAATTACAAAAATTCTTGAAAACATATGTTTTGTTTTTTTGATTATGACATTCTTCAACTTTATTGAAAATCGCAAAAATATTAATAGAATTTTATTCTTGGATAATTTCTACTCTTTCTTAAAAAAAATATTAAATTTTGACAATTTCTCTGGGAGTTATGAGCAAAAGAAGATATGCTTGGTAAAATTTTAAGCTTTTAGGGTTAATGATAAGTGAATAAATGGGAACGTGAATAAATGAGAACATATAGAATTGCAATCGCATATTGATATCATTGATATCTTCTACCACAGGGAAACATACGAACACGAAAAAGCGACGTGTGCAACCTGATAAAGCTTTCCCGAAAAGAATTCTTGAACTCTCGCCGAAATGCAGCGGCCTGTTGCTTCGCAATTACCTGTTAATGAGGAGGGAGAAAGTATCCAGCGCTTCGAAGGCGTCCTTACGTAAAGCTGAAGATACCGCACAAGCTGGTAGATTGTTCTATGGTGCCTATAAATCTTGCAGGTCCTTTTACGCGAGCAAATGCAATCCTCTAGTGCTTACTAATTGGAAGGAAGTGTCCAGGCGGAAGGAGTACCGATCCAAAAGTGCGTTCACCGCTAGTACTTCCGACGAGTCGCATTGCACAGTTAGTTGCATCTGATTCGCGAAGTCGGAGAAAGTCTGATTCTTGAAGATAACTTCAAGACTAATTTTTATAAATGTATATTTTCTTAAGACTTCCTTAAAATTATTTTTTACATAATTTTTATTGTATTTTTATAGCATTTTTTACGCTTTTCTGATTTATGCAAATATATTTCGGTATCTTATTTTAAATAGAATGTAAAAATAAGGTATAAAAAATGTGTAGATGTAAATAAGTGACAATGTCAATAACAAATCCGACGAAAGATTTTATTATATATAATAAAATTATATAATAATAAAATTATATAATAATATTATATAAAAATTATAATATAATATAATATAATTATATTATCTAAAAATATTTTTAATTATGTTGTATCAAAATTTTATTAGTATATTATACATAATAATAACATTATTATTATTAGACATTTATATTATTTTATATTATAATAGTGGAAGGAAAATGACAACGATGATATTAATAATCGTAGTGGATAATGAGGAGAAATAATGACGATAAAATTAAGGGTCTAAGAGCTAAATTAAGGGTCAGGAGCTAAGAGTAAATCCTGACTCGACTATGGAGACCTCATGCAGTGAGAGCGCAAAGTATCGTTCTGCGTGTGTAGTTGTACGTTTATACACGTGCGAATACTAATGCATCGCTCGCGCGAACACAACAGCTGCAAGTTAGTGCAGCAAAATTTTTAAAAATAATCGACTGTGATTGGTCAATTTGTTTGCGACTAATGGCTTATTGTAGAAGGCCAATGACGTATATACATAGACCAAGCATTCTGTCCGCAAAGTGAAGCCGGAAGTTGGCAGTTTGAAACAGAATGAGAAAGTTGATTTGCTATTACCATATATTTCACTTATCTCGATATAAAATTGATATTCATAATATTTTATACTGTGTATAAATAATCACAGCAATTGTTCTTATCCTGTTTTCGTTCTACTGTCACATGAAAAATGTTAGATTGCTATGACGGGATACAGTTCTTGGATAAGATTTAGTTCTGTAAATAGTTCTATTTAGTGCTGTAAGTGCTTCAGAGCGACGAATGGATCAATCACATTGCTTTATTTAACGTTTTAAAGTATTTGTAGTGTTAAACAAACCCTCCTTTTTGACAGTCAATAATATAGAGTGAGAAAGCATTAGAGATAAATCAACTTTCTCACTCTGTTTTAAACTGCCGGCTTCACTCGCTGCTACAGGAGAAGTATAGAAATACTTGGTCTATGTATATACGTCATTGTAGAAGGTCCATTATGGAGAATTCACATTGCATCCGACATCCGACGATACGATATCCAATAGTAGAGTTTTTTTCCAAGAGTTTTTAGCTAGTGACATTTTTGTCTCTAGAAAACCAATTCTCCTATTGGATATCGGATGTTGTACATCGGATGTAATGTGAATCCTTCATTAAGGACGTTTTAATTGACTGTCGGATAGAGAATTTCTGGGATATCTTAAGAAAAAAATAAGGACTTTAGGAGAATTGTATCTATCAGCCAATTGACACACAGAGAGAAAGAAAGGATAACCTGCTCTTTTCATCTGCACTTTCTGTTCTAAAAACGAAATACATATGTTTCGAAACCTTGTCATACATACACGTCTAAGGGAGCGCAGGAGACTAGAGTTCTAGTAGGTTCCTAGTCGACGAGCTTAATATCGATACAGCTATGTAGACACGGACACTTCCAAATTTGTTTACACGTTTATAAGATAAAATATACAATTTTTTTATACGTATTTTGTAATAAAATGTACTATACGGCATACATAAAAAAATAATTTATTGTAACGGTGTTGTGAAATTATAAGAAATATAAGAGAATAAAAAGAAATTTTGAGCAAATTGCGGGATAACCTCTGTAACACGCATTATACAATCTATATTTTTGTTATTACTGAAATAAAAATTTTATACGATATCTTTAGTTCTTCGTTTTGTCGTTTCACTACTGCAAATATGGTTTCGAGTTCGAGTGAACAAAAGGGAATTTGGAGAAGCCTCGAAATTGACGACAAGACTCATGTGATTTGCTTCACAAAAGAAAATGATTTATGGAAGGTGATCTTGACAGATCTAGTAGAGGTTTGGATAGAAAACCTGACACACGAAACCATGTTTCGCAAATGTCAGGTACACAAATTAATTATTTCGACGTATGCAATGTCTGGTATCAGTATCATTTACATCAATTAAAATCAATTTTTAAATAACACAAACCAGACGAATCAAAGAGATGAAGAGATCGGATTTTATTTGAAAAGTTATCTTGCAAATCCTTCGGCGAATAAATAATCTACATTACACGTTTGAGCATGATGAAATATATTGCTTTGTAGACCTTGAATCCTCTTTTGAAACCTCTTGAGGCTTTTGACTGGAAACAACCGGTAATGGATATGTTGAACGATATCCCTAAGCACGTTGTAGAAATTTCCGTGCCTCAGATAAAACTGTGCAAAGATCTAGACTTCGTAAAGTTAAAATTCTCGCTAGATCTCGTCAAAGGTACACCATTGCAGTTCTGTGAGAATGTGATGATGCCACTCTGCTTGTCATCAGTAGAAATAACTCGCCAACACGGAATCTTATTAGACCTGGTGAAGAAGAAGGACGAAGAAATCACGGAGTACAAAGCAGGGGGAGCAGAGTTGATTAGGAGTATGCATTTCTGCAACATTTGGCGGGAGATTCGTTATTAATGTATGTGTAGTAGACTAAGAGATCGCCACTTATGATTTACAGAGTATATTGCCACAAAACCGTTCAGTGAAGAGTTATTTCAAATTGATACTTCTGTGCCAGTTGCAACTGACTGTACGGAAGCATTCCGGTCAATACTTAATTCTTGCAACATTATAACCTCACCGAGAACGCATGTGAAGGTAGAACCTGATGATGATGCGAGGTATAACGCAATTTGTGGATTAATGAATTAATGCATTAACGCGTTAATAGATGATATGCATTATATTAGGAAAGACAAAAAGATATTATAGAATATATGATAAATAAATTCGTTTACTCGTTTCAGTGATGATATTTCAAGGACCAATGGAACTGAGCTTGTCAGTTCATCTAAGAATAAACTTGTACAGGAGACAAAACAAGGTGAAGCCAGTAAGGATGAGGAAAATGAGGACAACAAATGTGAATTAAATTCATCCACTAGTGGGTCTTCAATTTTGAAGTTGAGCAGTACATCCCACAGTATACAGAAGTCTCTCAAGAAGAAAAAGAAAACATTGAGCGATATCATATCATAGCAGAATGTTATTCTCTTGTTGATTATTCTTTGTTGGTTACTTTGTAAGTTCATACTTTACTTCTTTGTTTGAAAGCAAAGCAATTTTATATTTTTGAAGTAGTGCAATTATCCGTTACTTATTTATTGAGAAAGAGAAAAAGAAATATTGTACCTATGTGTTTATGTGTACCTTGCTCTAGACTAAATATAAGGAGATAAAAATAATCTAAATAGAGTCTAGATAATGTTATCTAATATATATAATTTTTAATCATTGTGTGCGAAGATTGTACTAAAGTTCAGAGTAATAAATGACAAAAATAAAAAAAAGTGGGCTCGTCCGGGATTTGAACCCGGGACCTCTCGCACCCTAAGCGAGAATCATACCCCTAGACCAACGAGCCACGTTGTAGGTGGGACTGCTTGTGCGAACTGTTCAGCCATGTGGACATCGACAATATATACGCATGTATTCACGCATCGGGCTTTATCTGTGCTATTAATTACATGATAACGCTCTTCGTGCGTGGCATGTGTGCAACATGGCGGGCGATGGACAACAAGACTTCAACCGGAGCGCGTTGACGCTCGATCGCGGACGGGTAATCGTCACTCTGTGATTTTGATTGTTGAGACTAATGTGCGTCGTGACGCACGTAGATCGGTATCATTGGGCTCGTTTTCTCCGCCTTATCGTGTCTTATCACCGGCGAAGAGCAAACGCGCATTCCAACTTGGAGAAAAACAAAAGAGCGTAGAAGAGTGTAGACAATATAAACAATATAGGCTAAAGGAGCCGTTCAACAAGTACGTCATGCGATATTTGAGCATTTTTTATTTCCTTCACTTCCTCTTCGTCAAAAAGTTTGGGACTTCTTCCAGTATTATACAACATGTGGAATTACACTTCTCCCCCCCCTCTCTTTCTCTCTCTTACATAGAATAAGGAAAAATAGCTTATAATTATATTGTGAATAATAATTATTAGACCGCGTTACTACATTTTTCTAAAATATAAATAATTTTTAGAAGTATAATATCAAATTTATTACTTTATTTTATAATTTTAATTAATAAAAATTATGTTAAAAAGATATGTTTTTTTTTCAAGATTAAGATTTTGATTATTAACAAAATTAACCTAAAATTAAGTTATTTTTGTAGCATATAATATATTTAGATGTATAAACAAATTTAGATACGTGTGATTCATGCCTTTTCTCTTCCTCTTTCCCTTTTTGCCATCACAGACCGTCACGCAAACTACAGATTCTCTTTTCTCGTGGTATGACATAATTGTTGAACGCGCCCAAAAAAAGTATAAAACTTATGTGTATTCAATGAAAAAATTTAGTAAGAGTCACAATGTAGTAAATATTCAAATAAAATTACAGAAGAGATAGAAATGTATTTTTGTTTTTTGAAATTTCCATAATTTTCAATTTTCAAAATTACGTTTCTAAAGCAGGAACTCATTTTCTTCACATTTTCCACGTTTTTGGTAAATTTTTATTCATTAGTTATCGGCACTTTAGGCCTGGTACACCGGTCAAAGAGCGGAGAAGATCCCTGGTGGACTGGTTAGAGTCGTGGGTCACAATTGCCTCGGCCTGGATCTCTCCTATAACGAATTGACTACCGTTTCTGCCGTAAAGGATTTCGAGCAATTACAAGAACTGATTTTGGACAATAACCAACTTGGCGATCTCAAGACGCTGCCGCACATGCCGACTTTGACCACTCTGAGCTTGAACAACAACAAGGTTCGAAAAATACTTAGTACTTTGTTCCAAGCATCCTCCAGATAACTCAAACGTCTAAAAGACGAGACGCTTTTGAAAGACCCCCGCGTAGTTTGCCAACCAAAAGTTGAGATTCTTTCTTCTTTCCGGAGATATCAAACATTGACGGAGCCCTCGACAAAATACGTGATTGCTGTCCCAACGTGGAATACGTGAGTCTCTTGGGCAACCCAGGCTGTCCTGATCAGCTGACCAATCCGACGTCCACCGATGAGGACGATTACGAGCGTTACAGGCTCTACGCGATTCATGTTTTACCTCCGAGTCTGCGTTTCCTGGACTCCCGGCGGGTCACTCAACAGGAAAGACTGAACGCCGAGACTCGCGGCAAGTATTCCAGGACGGTGAAGTTGGTGCCAGAGCTGGTTCGCAAGCAACCCAGTTCGACGATAACCAATGAGTTCGATGATTTGTTCTTCAACATCCATTACACGCCCTTGCCAAACGTAGTACGCAAGCCACAAGATCACAAAGGTATGAGTCAAATCGCGAATATTGCACAACGGTATAATCGATCAATTGAAATATTTGCTTGAATTTGCGAGACTATCTTGATGCTTTGAAGACTCTAAGATAAAATGGATTTAATAAGAATTCATTGAACTTTAGAGCTTGAATACATATATACGTTGAAATATTCTCTAATTAAACAAGAATTGATTATTCAAGAATTGAGGTATTTGGAACAAAATACTGAGAAATATTATTTGACAGAAAATTAACAAACGGATATTTCCGATCAAAATACCGAATTTTTGTATCCCATCCCAGGAAACATCTAATGAGAAATATCGGTTCATAATATTTTGATTGATTTATCTAAGGAAATGCCATTATGATCAGGAGTATCCGATTCAATTTAATCGGATATCCTGATTGAATATAAACATTCATCAGTATTTTGATCGGAAATATTTGTTTGTTAATTTTATATCGGATAATTTCTTTCAGTGAAATTGATACTTTTTATACGTGTTTCTTTGGATTACTGATACGAATTCTAGAATTATTGACCGTTTTGTTCGAAAAATGCAGAGATGAAAATTCATAATTTATAAATCTTGTCAGGTGCATACGGCAAGTGCAAGTACCGCTACTCCGGCAAAAATTCCGAGGGCAACCGATTCATCTCGAATAGCGATCTCTAAACGAGAATTGCCTGCATACTCTTAAACGTGGCCTTAAAATAACAAAGCATACACAAAGCGATTGTCTAGTCAGGTATAACTGATAATTACCAATCAGTTTTGCGAAGCGAAGTATCTCTTCCTCAGATATTATCAAACATTGTTGAAATTTGTCATAAATAACTTGCGAATAGTATTATCGATATGTATCTGAGTATTTCTTTCTAAGAATCATGTCATAATAATTATTACATCACTATTGAATTCTCAACGCTTGGTTTGAGACGGATTGTCGAACCTCCAAACTCCTTGTAATAATTTTATGTACACGTCGAATGTAAACTATAACTTTATACAGTTTCTAATAATATTTTCTGCAATATATCAATCGATATATCATTCAGCCCTCCAAGCGAACTACTCGATCATTGAATTTACGTGATGACGTAAGACTCGTAGCTCTTTTCTTCGCGAAGAAACGTGAGTAATCTTTATGTCTCTTTAGAGGCGCAATTTCTTTCCACAATGATCGGGAGCGGTGCGAGGCTACGAGTAAACGTATAAAACTTTTATTATCATGTACACCGACGAGCGACATATAAATAAATGTCTGATTCTATTCATTCAGTAACATTAAACGCCATGTACTAACATACAGTAGAGTAACTTGGAGACTTCATCGGACATAGAAAAACGTAACGGGTTATCATAACAGAATCTTCGACCTTTCTATATCGCTATTGGTCCGTAATTCGTACGACATTAATTATCGCAACGACACTAAATTTAGTATTTCGAGAATGTCGAAGTCGAAATATATATATATATATATTTATATGTATATGTCTATGTATACTTCAGAATTTGTTAGTTAATTTATAACACGCACGCTATATAGCCCCGCAAGAAATAGACGAATCGAAATAATTCATGGGAATTCGTTTCACGAATTTAGAAATTCCTTCATAGCTTGAGTTGAATTTTGTAATTTTGAAATTCTTCTATGTCCCTGTTCCTCTTTATTGTCTATTCTGTTCGAATGTCGTTTGTGAGAGCTAATGGATAAAAGGAGAATCACTTCGACATGGTAAGTACAGAGATGCATCTTCTTTTCGTGACATTTCGAACGGATGTTTCAGCAACGCTATTAGCAGGATGGCGAGATATAGAAGGAAATTCAACAATTTTCAAGAATGAACTCTCGATCTCAGGAATTGATGTAATTTCGCAGAAACGAATTCCGTCGCAATCGACGAGCAATTGCCAACTGACAATAGATCAATTCGTCTATTTGCCTCCATTCCCCTCCCCCCAGGGGACTTTATACGTTACCGTGCACCACTCGAATCTCTACAAAACATACGTTAAAGGCAGTTTACAGTTTCCTTCGTTAACCCTGTTTGTAGGAAGAGTCTTACATCTAAGTATACGCGACTTACACGACGTTACATGATCGTGCGCCAACAATCGAAGGCTGTATAATTAGTCGATTAAGTACGAAGTACGTCAGTTCGGTCCTTCGATATATTCTAGAACACTCGTGTCGTCGATTCGTGTCTGCGCCGCGATTCAACGACGTGTTCAGCGCTAAATATAGTGAAGCTGTTCGAACATGTCACGATGAGCACGAATGTCATCAGGCCAGTCTGAACGTATTGAAAGAAAAATATTAATGAATGCGAGGCGCAGATCGGTGCACGATCGTATTTAGCGCTGAACGCACGCCGCGAATGTTGGCGCTCTTCCTCTACGATCGTCCTGAAATTGCCGTGGAGAAGCTTCTGTTCCTTCGAAGGACCTGCGAAGTTTCTTTCGGGAGTTTCAGTGGCGACGCCGATACTCGCATGTATACGTATACGTATATAGTATAAATATAACATCTATACGAGAGAGAATGTATGTGTGTGTGTTCGTACAAATCGATGGGAGGAAGCGGCCATATTTAAATGCCTTAAATACGCCGTTCCTCCGCTTCGCTCGCTCGTCGTCGCTCGTTTCCCATTGTATACACTGGAAGCATCTTTCTCTCCAAGAAAGGAAAGTGTCCACAACGTTGTTCGCGCACCAAACGCCGACGTTTCTGCTCGTCCAATCTTGTTCGGTAAACAACGGAGGGAAGCGAGCGGTTGAACTAGAGGTCTTTTCCGAGAAAGCTCTCGAATTCTCGGTTACTTTGAAGCGCAATTAAATCAACGGCATCGAAGGCTGCCGGATGTTCGATCAAGTATTAAAATGGTATCATGGTCGATCGTTTGAAAAATTCAACAATTGTTCGAGTATCGTAGAGCCAAGAGAAAAAGAGAGACTGCACAACGCGACTATTCCCGCTCGCTCCTTCCGGTTCTTCATGAACTCTTGCACACATCCGCGATACAAAATGATATCACACAATATTACTACGATTTCACTAATTTTTAGACGCGTCATCACTTCAACGCCTGAATCGATTTATATTGCACTTACTTCCTTCATCGCGAAGACTTTTGACTAAGGATCTTATCTTTCCGCCGTCGCGGATCGATTTCCGGGGACAATCTCCTGCTCTCTGAGGTAGAATTTCGCGCACAATCTTCCAAGTACACGCGCGCTACGCGACTCAACGTTAGGAATTTGGTGAGAGCCACGCTACGAGGATTCTTCGTTTCTAGCTTGTTTCGTTATCATCATCATCATCATCTCGCCGGCTGTTTGGACGGATGCACTTCTGCTTTGACTGTTATCTCGTCTCGGGCTTACTAATGAGTACCTAATAGCATCTTCTCGGGAAATGTCGTCGTCGACATTTCGCGATATTGCACGTATTTCCGCGGCGTGCACTGCTCGCATGTACACGTGGAACTTGTCGCGCCACGGCGATTGGGGAAAATAAACAGAGGCGTGTGCGACGAAAGAACAAGAAGCAGCAGAAAGAGGACATGCTTCGAAAATGACTTGGAGATGAAGTATGATCAATTGATCCGTTGGTTATGAAGATAAAAGAAGAGATGGTCATTCCCAAATGAAATACATCCCAAGTGAATGTGAACTGCACAGAGAAAAATTATCCGATAAAGAATTAACAAACGGATATTTCCGATCAAAATACCGATGAATTTTTGTATTCGATCAGGAAATATCCGGTGAGAAGTATCAATTTATAATTTTTTGATGGGTTTATCTGATAAAACGTCATTATGATGGGAAGTATCCGATAAAATTTAATCGGCTATTCTGATCGGATGTAAAAATTGATCGAAATTTAATCGGAAATATCCGTTTGTTAATTTTTTATCAAGTAATTTCTCCTAGTGTGCACTTGATCATGTAGCTTTATCTTGGAAAATGTCAATAGACACGTGTCATTCAATTGCACGCGCTACAACTCTGTCCTCTTTGCGTTTGGCACGTCGAGATTATGTATTAATGTCATTGTCACGAATTCTGGCTTAGTGCGAGAGAAAGTGCGAGTGCGAGGAGCGAACAAGCGGAAAATAGGATATCAGCCCGTTTCTCCATACATGGGCGAAAATATAATAACTAAACAAAAAATATTACAATTCATTTGTGAATCTGCCTCTTGATACAAGTCTATCTACTAAAATTATAATAATAATTCTTGTGCAAATTTACGTGCGACTGACGTAAATTCGACTCTATTCGTTTCTGCGAATATATTATACGACGTTCTATCTACAAAATTATAAACTTTCATCATTGCTGAACGGGAAAGAAAAAATCGCGTAAAATCACCAACTTTTAATTTCTATCGAAATATCGATCAACGTGTGTTTTATATTATTTTTTGGTACGTTTTATATATTATCTTTTGAAATAATCGCGATGCAACGATAAAGTAAGAAAAGAAATCAATAGAAGCGAGAGCATCGTGCATCACGTATTTGTGGGGAAAGCTTTTACGTAGAAATCAAAAACCACAATTCATAATTCAAACTGCGAATTTGCATGGGACGCAACGTAAAAGCGAGAATGCGCAAAGAAGAGTCATTGGCGCATACGAGTGTTATATAGAGTGCAAAAGCATTGGGAGACAACAAAATGACGTACATCCAACCGATCCGTCGGGCTGAGGACCGCTTCCGTCGACGTCCGCGGAGCGAAAGTTCGCCGGAACGGAATTCTTGGTCGTGCCGGTTTTAAGGAGGATCGGATGAGTCCGCGTCGCTCCCGAAGGCACTGATTTTCGTTTCGCGAGTCCGTCGGGGACGTACGCGGCGCATTTACCACTATGTACATTGCGACGATACTTGGACTAAATCGTCGTCTTTGAAACGAGTCTCCTGCAAGTCTCCGAGAAAGAGAGACGGAGGAAACGAGAGGACTGTGAAGAGCGCGCCGTTCTCCCGAACGCATCGAGCGCGTCGCGTGTTCTTAAGAGCCGTTATTCTTGCCGTGATTGTGCAAGTTCGGCCTCAGTGTCACCGCGCCTTCTACCCAGAAGTTCGGCCTTTCGAGCATGTTCTGCCATAGAGATAGTTCACGGCCAGTCGCGTCCATCCAGTCCACCGGTTTTCCGTAGTGCTTCCCTGAAATGCATATTGCGTTAATTTATATTTTAATATTGAGTTCCCTTATAGAAATATCATACTAAGAATCATTGATAATTACTTATTTTCAGTATTAAAAATACTGGATAATAAATAATTATTAATGATTCTTAGTATGATATTTCTATAAGGGTTTTTCAAATTTTCTAAAACAAAAAATAGTCCATATTGTCACTTCCTCTCCTACTTGCTTCTACATTGAGAGAGATTATCCGATAAAAAATAACCAATGGATATTTCCGATCAAATTCCGATTAATTTTTATATTCGATCAGGATATCCGATTATTTAATCGGGTAGTTATTTGAAAAGAAGAAGAGTAAGCTGAAACGCTTCTCCTAGCAATAAAATACTATTTTTTGTGTGTAGAAATTCAATTGAACTTTGAGTGATTGAAGAATATAATAACTGATGTGAACAAATTTCTGAGTTTTACTCACCGGTGCCGAGATTAAACCGAACACCACCCAAGAATTCGTTGCTGGCGATCCTGTCGTGATCCCAAACTGTCAGTTCTAATCCGCGCTCTGCCAACTCTTGCAAACTGACATCTTTATATATGAACGTGTGCCCCCAAACTGGCGAGCCGCCTGATCTACGCACCACACCGGTCTTCTGTTTGCCGGATCGACCTTTGTCAGGCAGCAAATAGCTGAAATGGATTACACGAGACGTGTTACAATTCTTGGAACATGAAAAATGAACAATTACTCATTCGTCGCGATGAAACTGCCAATTTGATAAATTTCTTAGTCATGTATCAATAATAATATATATGTTAATCAATAATAATACATATGTTAATCAGTTTAATTTGATAAATACCTTTTGCAGAAAGGATCGCAAGTGCCAGAGTTCTTGGCGCGCGTTTGCAGGTTCCTGGCCTCTTTGACGAGCACGTGGAGCGCGCCGCGGCTCCAGTTCTTCTTCGCTTTGGAACTGCTGCGGTGTTCGGTGCCGTTTTCCCGATCGCGATCTTGCTGCGTCGGATCCGGTGGCACGAATTTCAGACCGACTATCACCTCTCCTTTGTAAGCGACTGGATCGTCAAACGGTTCCGTCTACGAGCAATTATTAGATGATTCACGCGTTTCCTTTTTTTTTGCTCAAATCGATCGTCAATTAGTTAAATTGAAACGTATTTATTCAAATCACTTATTAAATTGAGAAAAATTTAATCGACATTTTTACAATTCTGCATCTTTATACAACGATACATTGCGTACTTCACGTGTCGTGAACGGATATGTGAACGTGTGTCGTGACAAGAGCATATGTCAACAACATGAACGCATACGAAAAATCAAGAAAAATGGCGTGTTTCATGTTCCTACGTCAATTTTCCATTGAAATATGGGCGTCAGGATTTTACGTTTTAATGCGTGTAGTGCCTTAGACTTCATATTTTTGACAGCGCGCTACACTCAAAGGAGCGACTCACAACTTTATTACTGTCATCAAAGGATTCTCCGCTCAACGATATTTCTACGTAGGAAGATCGTAGAGACACGGGATAAATTGCATTAGCTAAGAAAGCTCAGACTATTCCGCTTCTGAGATAGTAATCGTTTCTCTATGTTATCAATTAATTTAATATATGGAAAGAATCTATAATAGAGATTACTGTAGAGAATTTTTGTGACCGAGGAATAGATCGACATTTTGCAGTAATTTTTATTATAAAATTCTTTTCGTGTAATTTTACTGTATCATTAAATATAATTTTTTTCTAAATCCAAATGTTTCACCTAAAATGTGAAATGTGGATTTTGAATTTAATTCTTCAATAAAAATTAAGGATCTAAGAAAAATATTTAAGAAAAATAATAAAGGTCACATATCTACTCATGAATACATCGAATAGACTTTGCACTCACATGCTTGTATAGAGATACATTGAAAGCATAATTAGAAGCCTTAAAGTCACAGCTTGCGTCTCGAATGAGAGAAGAGAACCAACACATTTTAGCGAAATGCATAACGGTGCAATCAGCTGGATGCATAACGACGTTCGGTCGACTTACTTCGCTTTGCTGACGATACTACAATTCGATCATTTCAGAGCAACGTTCCTTGTTGTTTCCCAAAATTTTCACCGAATAAAAATCAATTCCGCACTCTCGCTTTTTAACACTTAATATCGTTTGATTTAGAGTTCCTCAAGTCAGAGTTAGGACACCATCCGCCATTTGTAGGAGGGAAGTGAGTGAGTGCGTGAGTAAGAGAGAAGCTGCAGCGTTATTTCAGTCTTAGAGCTTCTCTCTCAATCTCACTCACGTCCCTAAAAATGGCGAACAAGGTGCAGGAATCACCGTGCTTTGTTCTAACCTTGACCAGAGGATCCGGCATTGCAACCGGAAGAGAACTTACCCTCTCCTGAAGGGGATACCAATGCGGCGTCGGATCGTCGAATATCTTGTTCTCCAGCGGCATCCGCACCTCGCCCAGGAAGTCGTTGCGACCGAACATGTCCGAATGCCAGACTGTCAGCCACAGTGTTCTGGTTTCCAGGCCGCTCAGGCTCATATGGAACTAAAATCGCGCGTTGACGAGCTACCAACTCTGACCGTCATGCAAACGAGCAGTGAAACATTCAGGCCGACTCGCGGCGACGGACTCACCTTCAGGGTCTCGTTGAATTCCGGATTTAACGTGTGCTTCTTCACCTTCGTCTTCCTCTTGCCACTCTTCGACTTGTCCGGTAACAGGTACACTTTGACGTATCTGGAAAAGTTGTCGAGTTTACAGATTAACTTAATTCGAAATGATTTTATTCGAGTAATTTTTCTCTCGTGCTGATATTAAAAAAGAAATAAAATAAACATGATTACATATAAAGTCGTAAGTTTATCGTTTAGTTAGCGCGCATTTATGTTTATTTTATTAATTATTTAAATCTTGGAATGTGTTCTCTGAGAGAGTTTGTTTATTCTTTATGAATTTACAAAACGCAGAGATACCTCGTGATGAAATTTATTAACTAATGGCAAATTAATTATATTTTTAATCGTCAGCCATATCGAGCAAAATTACTTATCGGTGTTATCAGTATTGACGTTGACTTGCATTATCGATGACACATCCACAAATTACATGTTATCTCTTTTCGTGTTCAATATACGACTACAAAGTCTACGAAATTAAAAGTCTCGTTTAAAATTACTTATTGCTGTATCCTAGTTATATATACCCAGATAAATTACTGTAATTCATGAATATATATACCCAGATAAATTACTGTAATTCATGAACTTTTACTTTTTTCTTGCAATGGATATTAATTAAATATCGATGTAACATATGCATACAGATCTATATGTTATCATAATGTTTGATATCAAAATTATAAGTTATAATAAATGAAAAAAATACGTTTAAAAATTTTTATTTTAAAAATATTTAGTTGAAAATATTAAGTTTCAAGCATAAATAAAATAATATATTGAAGATGCTAATTCGAGGAGAGATGTGCGAGGAACACTTACGGATCCGATCGTTTGCGTTTCACGTCTACTGGTGCGAGGTTTTTGCACTTCGTCACGTGTACCTCGAAGGTCAGGTGTTTGTAGTCGTATTGCAGAGCGAACTCCACCTCACCGGTGACGACCACGGATCGGCAGCAACGTCCCTCACCCGCGCCGCTGTATACCGACGCCATCGAGTCCGAACGTGCCTGGAATCGCAGACACGAAGATTAGAGTCGTAAAGACTAAAGAGGATTTCAGCGTCGTAAACCAGACGTAGTGTTCCTACCCGATGTCTGTTTCTCATTGCGTGTTCAGTGCACACTGAGAGAAATTATTCGTTATAACATTAACAAACAAATATTCAAAATATCGACGAATTTTTACATTCGATCAGGATATCCGATTAAATTTAATCAGATACTTCTGATCATAATGGCATTTCATAATTTGCATTACATTAGATAAACCGATCAGAAAATTATGAACCGATATTTCTCATCGGATACAAAAATTCATCGGTATTTTGATCGGAAATATTCGTCTGTTAATTTCTTATCGAATAATTTCTTTCAGTGTAGATTTCAATGAATCGCACTTACCCCGAGGCTCGACAAAGAGGCGCGAGTTGCAAGGTGACCGGAATGTAATCCTGGGTCCATATCGTCCATGTCCATGACTGTATGACTAGAGCCTGCTCGTGATCCTGCTCCGATAATCGGCGTGCTGCATGCCTCCGATAAACTGCCTCCGTCGTCTATGACATCATGAGAGGAAGCTTAAGTTATTCGACTCGGATTATCGAGAGAGAACAATGAATAATTACAATGAATAAATAATTGACAATTACAAGAGAAAATTTTCGAGACTTCAGTGTAAAATTTGTCAATTTCAGGGTCAAGTTAAATATCTCGTTTTACAGAGTAATTTTTATTTATTATTTTATCGATTCATTGTGATAAATTAATTGAAGTAATATTTACTTATTATTTTACTATGGTAAACCGTTCAGAAGTTTATCGTGTCAACCAGAATTATTCTCGTCCCAACTCTTAGACTTGAAAATTACTTCAAGATAATCGCTCTGTCAGTGACGGAGTTTCTCATTCAAGTAGCATTTTTATTTTTATATTTATGTATTATTTCGATATTTATGTATTTATGTATTATTTTCGATTTGCATATATCACGTTAAGATATTAGCGTGCAAACTTTTTTGTATGCCTGAACGCTGAGAAAAGAATATTTGAACATTTATTTGTGTAGCATATAAAACCCTCACTCACAGAAATAAACTTTACATCCCACAAATAAATTTTCAAATATTTCCTTCTCATAGACCCTTCGAATTCGATTATTCAACATCGCTTTTCGACTAACTTATTATCAACTGAGGGATAATCAACGTGGACGTTTTTTGCTGGCCGTATCGCTTCGAACACTTCGTGAAGACCTCCGAAGTATATCCTATCTCGGAATCGCTCTCCGACATTTTCTTCTCATCGTTCATCGGCGGCTTCTCTTTCTTCGGAAGAACCGGCAGACCGCCGATCACGCGCTTCATTTCGCTCAGAGTGTTACAAGACAAGGATTTGCCCCTGCAGTCCGAGTTATCGATCGCGCCATTCTTGCGGCTTATCAACGAGGCCTGCTCACTGTTGGAGACATCCTGCGCGGAGACCTCGTCATTCTTCACGACACCGTAGTCGTCTTTAGTCAATGAAATCTCCTCCAGCGCGAATTCTGTCGTTTTCATTGATTCGATCGACGAAGTCTCATTTAACTCAGCAATGGATTCCAGGACCTTCGTCCTGCTCGTCCCGTTCGCGCCGCTCGATCTCGATGCCGACGAGGCGCAAGCTGGTTTCTGTCGTTTATAACAGAAACCACAGCAACATCCCAGAAACAGCCCAGGAGCGAAAAGTCGCGTCATTTTTCTAGCCGTCCAGGAGTCGCTAGTAGGATTGAAAGTTGAGTAACGTGCACCTTTAGTCATCGCGATGAGTGCTTTTAGTCATCGCATTGAGCGATTCTTAATTGCAAATTTCCGACGACTTCGGAGATTTTCACGATTAGACCATTCTTCGTCGATATATATATACTTTGAAGCGTTAGTTAATGAGGATGTATCTTTATTGAGTCGTGAGGGAAAATAACATGACGCGAGTCTTCAACTCTATTTTAATCTTAAGTTCCATTTCGCCGGTGTTTCTTATTCCAAATAAGCAAAATTCTGAGGAAATAACGTGACATCTTCGAGAAGTTCAGTGAAGATAGTAACGACACTCTTAGCGATTTCCAGCTTGATGCATTTGTCAATATTTCGTAACAGGCTATAATTAACGAGAGAGAACTGCAGCTTCCCCTTTTTATACGATAGAGACGCGCAACGCGAAACGTACTGCTTGTTGCACTGACAAACTCGTTCGCTCGACTGTTCTTTCTTCTGGCGAGCGGAACAAGAGTACCGATAATTCTGATTTTTGCTTCCTGCCGTTTAAAACGAATAATGTGAAGTCAGCGTCTATATTCAAGGTCTGATATCTGGCAGGGCTTGATAACGCGTGATATTATAATTATATGTGAGTAAGTGTGTAGGAAGAGAACACTATTTTAACAGTGACATAATCCTTCTACTTTTTTTCTTTTCCCAAGCGTGAACTTATTAGTAGGTAACTTTAGGAGATAAGAGGGCAATTTAGGTAACAAGAATGATATTGTAAAGTCAATTAAAAAGTATTGTAACTCTCTCTCTCTCTCCCTCTCTCTCTCTCTCTCTCTCTTTCTTTCTCTCTATAGAAATATATTAGATAGAAATAAGGAATGGACAGATGTGTATAATGAAAGAATATAATTGTAAATGAAAGCTGAGGGAGAATATACTTCGTTAATATAACTTGTTCAGTTCAAATGTCTGTTCAATTTTCCCGATATAGTTTATCTGAATAAGCGCTAGATGTAATCTAGCTCGTGTGAATATTTCATCATTTCTGAAAATAGATTCCGGTAAGTTTTGCTTTCTAGTTATCGTAACCTCCAAACTAGCTATCTTGGTTTTCTCAATATAAATGGCGTCACCGGAGCTTAATTTGTAAATTCATAATCTCTTGGATTCGTTTCGTGTGTATTCTTTGCGATCTGTAGCATTAGTTGAATATAACATGGTGTCATGGAGGACGAAAAGGGGAAATTCTTGAAAAAAAGTTGAAAAGCATCGTGCTATATCGCGCTGATGTCAAAGCTATAATGACAAAGCGCTCCCGGCATCACTATACCGATAAGCCAATTTTCTTTTCTACACTCTGTTTCAAAGTCTGTTCTTCATTTTATAAATATCCTTGTGTTATTTAATAATTACTGACACATCATTTTCTATATTGTAAAAACTGATGTGTTAAATTTAACATTTTATGTGTTCCAAATCATCCACTCTCATTTATGTATAAATTTAATACAAAACAAATGTGATAAAAAGTAATATGCATAATATATAAAAAATTAACCTAAGAATTTAACACTTGAATACTGTTAGGAATCACAGTTTGTGTTAAATTGACATATGTATAATGTTAAATTAACTAAAATAAAACGTTACTTTAACAATGTCTAGGTATAGCTTCCGTTACTTTAACATTTGAGAGAAACGTTAATTTACGGTTTTGATGAAATGAAAATGTTAAATTGACATATGTATAATGTTAAATTAACTAAAATAAAACGTTACTTTAACAATGTCTAGGTATAGCTTCCGTTACTTTAACATTTGAGAGAAACGTTAATTTACGGTTTTGATGAAATGAAAATGTTAAATTGACATATGTATAATGTTAAATTAACTAAAATAAAACGTTACTTTAACAATGTCTAGGTATAGCTTCCGTTACTTTAACATTTGAGAGAAACGTTAATTTACGGTTTTGATGAAATGAAAATGTTAAATTGACATATGTATAATGTTAAATTAACTAAAATAAAACGTTACTTTAACAATGTCTAGGTATAGCTTCCGTTACTTTAACATTTGAGAGAAACGTTAATTTACGGTTTTGATGAAATGAAAATGTTAAATTGACATATGTATAATGTTAAATTAACTAAAATAAAACGTTACTTTAACAATGTCTAGGTATAGCTTCCGTTACTTTAACATTTGAGAGAAACGTTAATTTACGGTTTTGATGAAATGAAAATGTTAAATTGACATAATCTATATCTGACATATTAAATATGCGAATTTAACACAACCTGTGATTCCTAACGGTATTCAAGTGTTAAATTCTGATGTTAATTTTTTCCATATTATGTGTGTTACTTTTTAACATTTGTTTTGTATTAAATTTACACATAAGAGTAAATTTACACTCTTATTTATAAATAAGAGTGGATGATTTGAGATATATAAAATGTGTTTAACACATCAGTTTTTACAGTGTATAACTTTTACATGCTCTGGAATGTAGCTAAGAAGCAGCCCCCCCAGCTAGTGGCCTAGAAAAGTGCTATCTAGTGCCTGGATAGTTATATATTTCTAAGGTCTAGATTTTACAAGGTTATATATAGAGCTAGGTGCTGGTCAGATTTACAAAATAGGCTCTAGATAGGCTAGTTTACGAAAGCTAGTTAATACCTAGACTATTCCGGGTAGAAATTTCCATACGGGATCTCGCAAATTTTAACGCGCAGATTAGTGAGGACGAGGATGATACAAGGAGGCAATATTTAAACAGACGTTACGAAAATGACGACATGTCCGCGCTTTCCTCCGGCACTCGTACGGCATTTGGCGTACGATAATCGCGTTGCATCGCGCTGAGTAACGCCAAAGTAACGAGCAATTAGATATTAGATAACGCCGATAGCCGCGCGATACTGCCACGCTGATGCATCCTAATTACGGCCGCGCGACAAACGCTCTATGGTAACGGATGCGCGGGATCGGTTCGCGACTTTTGCAAACGGGTTTAGGTGAATGTGTGTCAAGGTGAACGGTATCGAGGTATCTCCGTGCTGAGAAAAATGACTTTCATGCGTCGCGTACCTACGTTACAACGCCGAGCGCACTCCATCAGGCCGCGACGTATAAGTCGGAAATTCCATCCAACACGACACGGATGTGACTGGAGAGACGTCCGTCTCGTCATGTTAGTCACTCGCAGAAAAAAAATAATAATTACTGTCACTCAACGTTGTAGTTTTTCGTCTACAAGTCAAATTTTATCTTTAATAGAAATTTCTCCTAGACAGAGATAAGTAGATATCCCGCTTTAAACATATTCCTCTTGATTTAAAAGGAGAAAAGTTAGAATAATGCACATTGAAAAATTCATTTAGTTAACCAAAATAGGGTCGAACAAATGTTTCTGCTGTGAGCGCCAAAATTTCGTTCTTTCTACCAAAGATTTGATTCTTTGAAACCAAATCTGTTTTATTTTTATTTCAAAGAATCAAACCTTTGGTTCAAAGTACCAAATATTGGTTCTCACAACCAAAACATTTGTTCCACCTTATTTTAACCAAATTTTTGGTTAACTCAACTAAATGAGTTTTTTAGTGCAGTAGATTTCTGATGAATAGTCCACTTCATCATAAGTTGCATACAAAATGTATTGATGCAAGTAACTTATCTTCGTTTAACGCTACGTAATCTCATTTTAAGGTTTACATGTCAAAGACGAAGATATTTTCTGGACAAAGATTTTTTCTATGTACATAAGAGAATTTTCGCTAAGCATAAAGAGAACATTAATTATTTATTAT